GGCTGCAAATTTAAAATTTTGGCAGTCAATAAGAGAACAAAATTAAAATTAACAAATTATGCAGCAGCAGCGGCACCAGAGCGCTATAAGAGTGTGGCGATTGAACTACATATTTCAATTTCGTTCCAGAGCACAACAAAAATAGCCATAGGGGGCGTTGCAGTACGAGCGAAGTTTGGGGCTCCTGGCCGCCGTGGCTGTTTTCACTGCGATGGTGATTCTATCTATCGCAACCACTGTCGCAAGTTAAAGTCGCAACCTTGCAATTGGGTCCTGGCTATCACGAAGCCGATAGCGTGACGTCATCTCGACCGCTCCTGAATTCTATTCTAACCAGCATCTTTGTGCAGATGGCGCGATAAATCCCGCCAGCTTGATTAGGAACCGCGCACTCCGCTTCCACCACGTGTTTCTGTGTTATTTAACCTCAGTTCCATTTATATGTTCAATTCTTCTAACTCTGATATTAAACTACAACTGAACAATTGTCAAGGTTTCAAAAGGGCAATAAACAACATTTAAATTCGCCATACAATCTTGTGAAATTTTAAACAACGAATAATTTTTATTTGAAATTAAAATTGGACATCAAATAATTTATATGATGAAAACATTCATCAATAAAATATTTACAAAAACAAAAACTAGCAAAGTTTTATAAAAACAAAAAGATCCGGTGTGAAGTAAAACTTGTGCAAAAAAAATATTACGTGAGGTTAGAAACTGCAGAGCATGCAAATTTACGTCCAATTTAAATTATACAACAAAGAAAATTACTGAACTTAAAATTGTGAGATAGAGAAATATTGTAACTATGAGGTGAAAATTGCAGAGCTAACAAATTGGCATGAGATTAATATTTGCCACACTTAATCAACGATTCAAACAAAGAATTTATCTGATGTTACATTATGCCATGATTGATTGGTTATTTAAAACAATTTGTTTGGAGGTTTATATCGTGAACTGCTTATCCCAAACAAAACACATAATAAATAAACACAAAATGCATCAGGCGTTGCGAGAAGAGTAGTTTGATGAGCGTTGCGAGAAACTATGTCTCGATGATATAGCTGTGCACGTTGTGAGATAAATGTCTCGGTGATGTGATGATGATACGATGACAATAACGATGATAACTGCATAAGGAGAAAAATCTTTAATCCCCCCGTCCCGCAGTTCACGATATTAAGTATGAATTTTGCTGCACTTTTCTACGGTCTTTTTCCACAGTGGCGTAAAGTTAGGTTAATTTAACTGTCGTGGCTAAATGAACTATTGTGCAATCTTGTGTGAACAATTAAGAAGTATTATAATGTAACATTTAAGTATTAGCATCCAGAAACCTTATTCATAATTAGACAAACAAAATGAAACGAGTCCTGACTAAGTGAATTCTCATGAAAACTCCAGTAAGTGTTTATCTAAACAAATTTCTGATGTTAAATTGTGTTAGAACTAGTTAACGATTAAAAACCTAACCTGATCTATGAATCTACAAACAATGGATCAAATTTACACGTGTTCGCGTCGGTCAAAATTCACATGTTTTCCGATTAGAAAGCCACAAGAACTAGCTGCGCGTGTTGGGGAAAACGGTGGCGTCGTCGTCGTTACGATTAATTCTCGTTAAACAAAGGCTTCCTTGTTTTTATTAACTATCAAACCAAGTAAACTAACCCAGCTAACTTACCGCGTCTTTTTCACCATGCTCTCACACACAGAACCAAACAGTGGCGGAACTAGCTTGAAATTCTAGGGTGGGCCAACGGTTGGGCCCTCAAAATTTTAATTGGGCACGCATTGCAATTTTATATGTATAACCGCATAGAAGTGACTTATGCCTAATGAAGTAATATTCGACGATTGTTGTGAGCAGCATCGAATTCTTTAACAATATCTTCGATGTTTAAAGATTTTGCCACGGCAGATTCGACGTTGGTCACAGCAAGATGAATTAGTCTTTCATTGGTCATAGAATTACGCACACATGTTTTTAAACGTTTTAAAGTGGAAAAAGTACGTTCACATACAGCACCTGATACTGAAATTTTAGCACTAATAACCGCTAGTTTGTAAATATAATTTCATAAATTTTTAACATGTCTAAAAGGTCCATTATTGTCGTGATTTTCACGTTTTTTTCATTTTCGTACCTTGTCATTATTGGACGTATCATAAGTTCTGATTTCAACAAATCCAAATTACTTTGATAAAAAGTGGCTAAAGGAGTTAAGGCGTCAAAATTTAAAAATAAAATATTGCTAGGATGCAAAGCTGCAACATCATCTGTGGGCACCGACTTCATTTGCGGGGACTAAAAAAATGTTTTCGAGATTTTATTACAAAACAAGTTAAAAATTTACACCGGTATTCCTAGAAAAATTGAGGTGGGCACCAGGGTGGGCCGCAAAGTTTTTGGTTGGGCCATGGCCCACCCTGGCCCCCCCTCAGTTCCGCCACTGGAACCAAACCAACAATGACGCTTTCATCTCTCTATCAAGCCGCCATCTTCTACCAAACCGTTTTCTTCTAACCAACCCTAAAATTCCAAGCAGCAAACTACCCACTACCCAAAAGCCCTAACGTGCACATGGTTGCTCATGTTTAACGATTTTTTGATTGAATTTTTTTTTCAAATTCAACTTATTCAAATGTGATTTCGAGCCGCTGTTAAATTTTTTCAGCTCGAAATTTTGATTCAAATTCGGTCACCACAATCTAATGGGCGAAGGCAGAAAATATATAGTAGGTACAAGGAAATTAGGTTGCATATGTTGTATGTACAAGTAAACAAACATAAAAACTAATCCGACAAAAATTAAAGAGGCTATAGAAAGATGTATGAAAGAAGGATACAAAAAACTGAAGGACACAAATCAAAGGGAATATTTGTTTTGGATTAAATAAGAAAATCAAAGAAACAAAATACATATACGTAAAAATGACAGAAAACTAAATTAAGTTTATGTAGTAATCAAAACGATACCTAACAATAGATGTAGGGTTATCAATGATATAGAAAAATAACGTGGCAGGACTCTTTAACGACAATAGGCCATCTCATCCAACATGTAAATCATCGTTGATAAACTTATCAGGGCGACTTACAGGCAAAAGTAAGGTATCATATCCATTTAGGGTAGCAAACGGAATCGTACAGAATCTATACTTGAATCGGAAACCTCGACTCAGTCTCGATCGTGACCAGTAGACTGGCGAATTTGTTTGAAATACTAAAGGGTACCTGGAAATGTTGTATTTTATTACCAATGTTATTTAATTTATATGTTGAAAACATATTTTCTGAGGCATTAGATGGCATGGAACAAAAATAGCTAAAGCTTTAAAACTTTGACACATTGTTGGTAATCCACTTTGTCGCTAACAAGTTTTGTCTGCGAACTCCTTGTAGTATTTGTCAAAACTAATTACCATAGCAGTGACGTCTCAGCACATTGCCAAACCGTAAGCTGCTGTGCTTGGCATTTGAGAGCGCAGCTTCAGTTATTTTTATTCAGGCTTCAGTTTACGAGTGCCTTGTTTGTAACATAGATGGGGTTTATCCGAATCAAGGTTTTCCACATGCTATACTTCTAAAAAGTTTTGAGTACACAGTCTTTAGAGAAAAAGGATGATGGACTCTGTATTAATGCTGGTATATTTAGTACGTTCCTACATTGATTGCTCACAGTTACTAAATATGTTAAAGTTTCGGACAGTAGCAGCTGTGATGAGTTGAAATGGATTTTATTTTTGATTGAGTATTGAATGATACTGAAGTAATCAAAATCAGAGTGGTCTATAACTTTTTGACGCTGCTCATATTATAGGAATAGCAAAAGACAATCTCGCTTTCCATGCATTGATTTTCGTAATCCATTTGAACACTGTATATTACACCAGGTGCGCAGTCTTTGGTGCGCCTCCCAGCGGATAAACGAAATACGATTTGTATAATTTCTGGTTCTTTGATGTTATTCTTATTGAAGTCAAAGAAAATTGAGAAAAGTGGTTGACTAAATTATACGTTTTTTCTAAAAGAATATTGTAATACTTTGAGTTTAGTTAGCGTGTGATTTAATAAATGCGAAGGGTATTGTTAGAACGATTAAATTCAGCACGTTCTCATTTTTTCGGAATTACATTTTTAAAGATTTTCATTAAAATCTATTGATTTATTTTCTTTCATGAATTTAATTTATTTATACCAAATAAACTGTAATGTACAACTTAGTTTTAGCTTTATGAAGACTTTTTACACCTATAATTATATACTAGATAGATTTGTTAACCCAAAATTATTATTAACATTAATTAAATTTTTTTTTTCTAAATTAAACATGTACATAATTATAATATTTTTTATAGTATAAGTTCTTAAGAGATAAATGTCAAGTTACACAGAACTTTATCGGGACACTTGTATACATAACTAATTTAAAGCAAAAAATGTCAGTGTTTGCAGTAGAATAATTCACAAAAGGAAGAGATATGGAAATTTATATAATAAATGAATGAATACAGTTATTAAATATATATATTTTAGTAATTTCTTACCAATGTTATATTTATTTTTTAATATTTATAAATTGCGTTTCCAATATTCTGGTTTGTTTTACTACTTTGCATTCGGAAAAGTTCTACGACTTCCAATTCTGCGGATAAAATGAATTAATTTATGTCGTTGCAGTACCATGCAGCATTAATTTTATTTTGTTGCAGTCTTTTGTGCATACATTTCGCTAGTTACGTTGTTTAATCATGGCTTTATTTTCTTTATACAGGTAATTAACAAGTTGTTACTTCCACTCTCTGTATCGTTATGATTACTTTCTATGCATTTAATAATTGGCGCAAATTTACATTTACTTTGCAATCAATTTCGATACTTTTTACACCAAAGAATCTTTTGAATAATGGTTACATTGCATGTTAATATTTGTTTAAAACACATCCTTACAAACAGAAATAATTTATTATTTTCTAAACATGTCACATTAGGCTTAGTCTAACTGTAAATAAATACAAAACTTAAACAATAGAATTTCTCTATGAATTAACTTATTTCATATACAAAATATGTACATTATGAACAATTTGGCGATAGTTGTGCTTTATACAGAGTCTTATTTATTTACATGGAACAAATGTTTTTCGTACACTTTGATTACCGACAGATTCTATCGTCGTCTTCGGCGGCACAATGTAAATGCGATGGTACTAGAAACAATCTTCCGTTATTGCACACACATAATTGGAAAATTTCGTTCTTGTTGGAGGCGGGTTTGGAAGTAGGAATGGCGGTGGGTAGCAGTGGCATCACTACTGAACTCGCTTCTAAACGCACAGATCCTACTTCTGACCTAAAACTAATGTCATTGAGAGAGATTATCTTCATTTTGCCGCCGCGGGATTCGATGTGGACGCCTTGAGGACCATGAATTTCCAAGGAGCGGGTGGGAGATTCAAGTCTGAAAAATATACAGTTACGAGATAATCAACAGCTGTTTGTATATGAAGTAGGCGAAGTGTATTATGTATTCTGGCAGATAAGGTAAATCGTCAAGAGGTCACGGTATGTATGTATGTACGTATTTCTATACTTTGTTTACTTTCCATTTAAATTAAACTTTATTAAAATTAGAGCTTTTAGGAGTTTTTGAAGAATGAGTTTTACTGCTAGTATTTAGTAAGAGGTATGATTTATTAAGAAATGCTAATATTAGCAAAAAATATGAGTAAATTATTGTCCTCTGGAACCACAAAAAAGTAAAAAGAAGGATGATACATCCAATAATACTGTGAGTATCTAACCAGTCTTTGACTTTTATTGCTAGTAAATGTGGGTGGTTTGTCCAACTACGCAGAGTGTTATGATGCATTATCCATTACCATCACACATTTTCATTGCAACATATAAAGTAGGAATAAGCTCATTAACAATACAATTTTTGTGCTAATCTTTGTAGTTATTTTTCGCTTTCAATAAAAAGTTACATCTTTTAAAAAGCTTAAATCTCACAACTTGAACCTTCACTTGTATTTTTGCTGGGAATACTTTTCAAATCTGAGTTGTATACCCAACGAAGAATGGATGAACCGTTTTGGTAAACCTATGTTTCGTCGAGGCATCTTCACTAGAATTTAGAATTTGCAGAAATTTTCTTAAAAAAGTAATTTTAGCTGCAACGATATGTTTTTGTTCACATAAGATTTTGTGACCGGTTACTTCCTCGTGTTTGTATCCCATAACCCATAAGCTTACTAATTCTAAAATGTATTGTTCTCTTTCTCTGAAAACGTCATTGTTTTCTTGCCAGCCAAACATTTGTCTACAGTAAAATATTAATTTTTTCATTACATTCTCGCAATTTATCTTGGTTGTGGAAAGATGTAAATAAATGCAAGAATATTAAATGTAGGAGAGCATTTGAAGATATTTTCAGAATTGTAACAAATTCTGCATAACTGCTTTTGTTTATATGTGGCTCGAGGGCAGGGCCGGCTCTAAGGGACCAGGCGCCCCGATGCAACTTACTGTTCAACGCCCTTAAAAATTTTTTTGTAAAAAAAAACAAATAAAGTTTTGTAATCACATATTTTTGTAGAGAGATACTTTTTATTAACAAACATGCATAAGATTATGATGAATCAATCTTAATACATAAAAGTGTTTGTCTTAACTGACAGACTGACTGATTCATCAACGCAAAGCCTAAACTACTGAAGCTACAAACATGAAATTTGGACAGTAGGTTTTGTCATAAGCACCCATTGAGAAAAGATTTCTGGAAATTCCGTCCCTACGGGGACAAAATAGGGGATGAAACTTTGTGCAGAAATCCCGTGAGTTTTTAAGTCAGACGGGTTCACTGAGGCCCTGGAGGAGTGGACGAGATGAAAAATGATAATTTCGGAGATTTCCACGGTCGGAATCAATACATGATCATTTTCCGGGTTGGAACTGTGTAATTTCTCAAAAAAGTTTCGCCTCTGGTATGGTTGACATACTGAGTTACCGTGCTCTTTTGCCTTATTCTTAACCCTGCTCCTGAAGATGCCACTTACGAAAGTATGCGAAACGTTGAGCCCAAAAACTCAATTTACACGGTTCCAACCCGGAAAACGATCATGTATGAAAAATGATGAGTCCTAATTGCGAATTCCACGCAAAGGGAGCTGCGGGCAAAAGCTTTTCTATAGTTTAGGAAATATCGTTGTACCCTATAAAATTTTATTGACAATAACGAGGCGGACAGTGGTACAATAGCAAGAGATATTTACAACTTAAAGTTGTCGCGTGGCGGTAATCCGCAGACCTTAAATTTGCGTACAATTACCTGCTAAATGTTCTCCGACAAATTCGGGGGGACTGATGGGAGCCATAACTATTTCTTACCATTGTACTACTGTCTGCTTCGTTATTGTCAATAAAATTTTATAGGGCACAACGATATTTCCTAAACTATACATAGTATAAGTATAAAAATATTTATATTGCAAACGTTTTTCAATTTTTATTATTGTAAAATTGATACGATTTCAAAGTTGTTTTTAATTTAGACTTACCTCAATGTTAATCGAAATTTAAATTTAAAATTAATGATGCCAAAAAGCCACGAAATGATACACAGAACCAAATTCCGCTACAAACAGGAACAGTGAAAAATATAACAAAACTGTTGAACAATCACCACAACCAAAACCAACTGACTAGACTTGGAAAATAAAATTTTTAAGTATGCCGACATGGGCTTTTATGGTAAAAACAAACGTGACAAATGTTAAGAAAAATATCTGGTTGTGGTCATGGCGCTGTCTCGTCAAATTGTTACCAAGATAATGCATCATAAATCTGGTTATTTTTTGTCGGTATTGATCTAAAGGTCCCATCACCCAACCCAAAGGCGCACTCTTTTTCAATTATTACAGTTTGATAGTGCCAGGAATTGACTTCTTGGGATCTGTTTTGGTGGTCATAGTGGAATGTTAAAATGTAAGTTTTTCTGAAAAGTTTTCGATGGGCACCTTGGTCTGTTACTGCTATAATATTTTGTTGGTAGTGATTCAATGCAAATCTAACATTAATTTATTTTTATAGAGTTAATATAAAAGCATAGGCGGCGCTCGGCGCCCGGCGCCCCTTGTCACGGGCGCCCCGATGCGGTGCATCTTTCGCTTACCGTGTTGAGCCGGCCCTGCTCGAGGGTATGCGTAATTATCATTTCCGAAAAGAGTTGACTGGATAAAATGTGAAGTTTATCTTGAGCTGTGTCTCGGCTATCAAAAAATGAAGGGAAATTACGATTATGATTTTAATAGCGTTCAAAACAACCTTTGATAAATAAATAAACTTGAAAATTTCTTTTAGTAATAAAAGTTGTTGTTTCACTTCCCTTTTGTAACAGGTTGTGGCGAGCCCCATAAAATTTATAAGAAAGAAAAATTAATATGCAGAGGAGTTTGAGTGAACAGATGGCGTCTTAATTATTAGTTACAGCGTTGAGGATATCATAAAAGTTAACCGAGAGGTTTCCTGCCTTAATAAAAGTTAACCAACCGCAAGTCGTTGCCGGGTTCGGCCCGAACCAACGTAGTTTGGACAGAGCCGCTGAAAGATGCGCCTCCTTCCCCCGTCACCCTCAAAAGCTCGGAACCAACAACTACTTCTCGACCATCTACTGCAAACAGAACCATTCCCCGATCGTCCATTACTTTGAAGTTATTAGTGAGGCACTCGAAGCGGTCGTTTCCTGCAAAATGACCCGTTCTCATAAATATAATCAGATAAGTGATAACAAGCTACTGACCTAGGAATATCATGTTGTTCAAACGACCATTTTTACTCCTAGATGATAATGTAAGGTTTCTGCTCGACTCAACGATTATCGGTTGCCCTGTTCTTGATTTTATGCTGCTGGCTATTAAAGTGTTTAAAACGAACGCTTTTCCCTCGAGGCGCAATCCACCACTTACAATCTTCAACTGACCCATTCCTTCCTGGAACACATTTTTAGTTAAATAGTGTTAAATATCCACCAAACTGCATTTGATAAAAAAATTACAAAAAAAAATTAGTTTTCATGTTCTGATCTTCAATATACACCACTTGTGGAATTTTGTTCTGTCAGAATTTTATATTTGCTAATACAAAATGTTGTCGTTCTTATTTATTTGTTTGAATTATTTCTTTACTGATCTTACCGTTTATGACCGATTCTGTTTCAGCTTTGTCAGTTATCGTTTCCGGGCTTAAAAATTTCCAGATGTTAAAATACTTACATAAATCGTTAAATCTGACACTACCAGTAATTGGTCCGTAACCGAAATATCGGCACGTAGCCTCATTCTCATCCCGGCAATTAATTTCTAAAAATAATTTTTCTTTAGTTGAAAATAAAATGATTACGATAATGGCTTCTTGTGAAATATACTGTAAAATTCCAGTCAGTAATTATGTCCCGAGGTCTTGAGATAAAGATGTTAAATATAAAACAGAGTCGAGGCTTTTTAAATTTTCGTAATTAAAACTTCTTTAATTGAGATGCAACAGTTGTTTCGGATTCTCTTTGATATCGAATATAATGTTACCCGGTTGCTTGTTGGTTTCCCATCGTGCACAAAAAAGCTGATTTTATAAAAGAGATAAGTGCTTCAGGTTATTGTGTGTGATTTTAATTAATGTCGTGTTAACGAAAATAAATTTATTGAACAAAATGAGGATCCTGAGATGAAAAAGCTGTCGAAAAAACTAAAACATGGCCATTATGTCTTGAGAAGTTTCAATATTTGCAATTTTTGTTGTGTCGGTATAGCGTGATCTTCTAAATTTGGCCATGATGCATACGGCTGACTTAAACGTCATGGCCAACTAGAGCCGAAGTTTAGAAAATCATGCAATAGTAATGTTAACTGTTCTGTGTTTATTGCGAAAGCTCTGTATGATTAGATTTAACATCATCCTTTGTTTTCAATACGGATGTTTCAATATTCATGGTATGTCGTAGGAATTTTTAATCCACGTATATCATTAGTTTGCCCACAAATGCAAAAAAAACTTTTCATTACAAATTCAAATTTTAATAGTGTGAGTAAATCGACTATTTAAATAAGATATGGTTCGTTGCTATTAAAATATCTTAATATTTTTCAATAAATAGTCAGTTTCTTTTTGAGAATAGGTTTTGCTGTAAAGTAAGTACCTGCTTATTTTCTCTCACCTTTAAAACATAGGCAGTACAACACTTGATTTTCATAGATGTCTTTTGAGTAATTTATTTTTTCTTGCAATGTTAGAGTACAAATAGTCATGTTTACACAAAACCTCTTTTTTATGTTAATATTACTGGCAATTTATGCGTTATATTATTGAGGACTGTTTTATAAATGCAACGAGACGTTTCTGTGTTGTTCACGTGACTACAAACAAATTAACTTCATTTTATTTCCCGAGTATAAGTTAAAGAAGTATTGTTATTGAGTGCATCGGGCGACTGCTACTTTTATGTTTTCTTGACGTCTCATGACTCCTAGGGTACGAAAACATAGGTCCCTCGTTACTGTTTGTCGTTCTACCATTTGCTGTCTACCGTCTGTCCATATTTATGTCGATTTTTATATAATAATAATCTTCTAAACTACCAGCCCGATTGTTGTCAAATTTTGTATGATGAATATTAGGAATATCGTGTAGATGATAGAATGCTAACCAAAATTGTCTGATCATCCTCACTAACCTCATCTCTAATTTTCACAATAATTATTTAAAGTTTATAAAGTAACATACTCCTTTTTGTAAAAAAGTCAAAATTGAAAATTTGAAATTCTGAAAACGGTTTAAGGCTATCTGAAGCATGGTAAATCGCAAATCGGTAATCAAAATTTATCAGTTTATAGCCTCCCAAAAAGGATCAAATCATCTCAAAATTTTACCGAATAAATCTAAAAAGAGTTTACACTTGTAGTTTAACAATGAATTTATATTTTTGTGAATTGCTTGCACAAAGTGACTCAAAAGAATTAATGAATGAGGCGACGTGTTTTATTGCCCATCCAATTTTCCTGAGAATTTGAGGATACCGTACTTAATATTATTTTATTATTAATAAATATTAATATAAAAAACTTTAAAATAATACAATTTCGAAAATGTGAAATTTATTTAGCCTAGGAAAGTTGTCATCTATCATTAGTTTTTACCACCTGTGTATTGATAGAGAATTTAAATAAAAGTTAATAATAATTGTAAAAATAACACTTTTAACTGAACTAAAACACTTTTTTAATAACAACTGAAACTTATTATTGTTTTAATATGTTTTTTGTCCTTTTAGTCCAAATAAAGAAAGCCATGTGTGCATGTGTCACATTACTGAATGCAGAAAATGTTTTTTTAAAAAATACTAAATTTAACCCCTCGTGGTATTTAAAAATAATCAAGTTGGCCTTGTATCTCCAAAATAAATGTTGATGAAAATTTGAGCAATATTTCAGAGGATAGAGTTCAAATACTTTTACATATATTTCAAATTTCAGTGAGTTCTGGTAAATCGTTCTGGAAATATTTAGATATATCTATACTAGCAACGTGTCCTTGTTAAATGTTGACGACGTCCTCAAAAAATTTTTAGATGAAAAAATTCATTATTAACATGTTCATATGATGCTTCTTTACCTTCACTTTAATAATGCACACTTATATTATTAGCTTATAGCGGTCATTATCAAAAAAATAAAATTCTCAAAGTTAAATTTGATATTTGTTCGACTATACTTTAGGGCCGAGGGAAGTTAGAAATAACCTTCGACCAATTTTTTTGCTTTTCTGACCATCCTGTTTACTATGTTTTTATGGTTAGAATTATTATTCGTTATAATTTGTATTTGCTGCTGGCTATAATTAAACTTCATAGATAGTTATGTGTTACAAACCACAGACAACTTATCTGTAAGAGCTTACTACGTACCACGGAAAAGCATTAAATCGACTACAACAATGTCATGTTCGAAATGCTTTATTATAGCATACACCCAGAGCTGTTCAGTACTTCAAGTACTTTTACTTGAAGTAATACTTCAAGTACTTTAAGTACTTCAAGTACTTTACTTGAAGTACTTTTATATTTAGGTACTTGGTACTTGGTACTTGAAGTATTTCTAAAATGTACTTGAGTTTAGTACTTGATTTTGCCAAGTACTTTACTCCAAGTACTTCACTCAGTATTTTAAATACTCTTGAATTACTTGAAGTATGAAAGTGGAAATTTCAAATACTTTAATCTCTATTTTACGAAGTTTTCACATCTCAAAATAGGGTCTGTTAAATACTTGAAGTTATTAATTCAATTATTTGATTAGATGTATTTTTATAGTAAAATCGTGTTTGTTTTCTGTGAGGTTATATTTTGATCTGTGATTGTGGATATCTTATCCACAATATGACGTACATTTCATAGGTACTTGCATAATGCCGATAGATAGGTAGGTAAGAAAATTAATGTCATAAATATGTCATTTGAGAGTGGATGACGACAGCAGAAGGGTCGGAGATCTGTGTAAAATTTTCAGCGATGTAAAGTTGTGAATATATGAATTTTGTCTTTTTTGTATTTTGGTCTGGAACTTAACTTTGCGGGTAGTTTTTCAGTACCCCAAAGGGAATCGGGTTTGTTGACGTACCTGCTAAAGTGCAAGGTCGGATTTGAAAATATTTGAGAAATGATTCAGTACTCGTTCAAAAAGATATTTATTCTTTCATTAGTTTCTTAACCCCGCCGTGTATTTGTCAGAAGCCTGGTCAGGGCGGAGAACTCGGCAGGGGATTATCCCCTTTATTACAATAGCAATAGCTGATGGCAGGTACAGACTTTCATATTCGCCTCTTCCTCGTAGAATTTAAACACAATTTTATGTTAAATATTTTGCAGTTTAATTTTCTTTATCATGTTAGACACTCGTTTTTTACCAAATTTTCTTTTTTTGTTTATACATGGTTCAGCCATATAAACTTAGTTTGTTATTACAACTTATATTTTCTCACATTAGAGTTTCAAATAATCTGTTAAATTGTATGAATTATTTGAACACCAACAATTTAAAAAGACGTAATGCAGAAAAACAATGATTTTAAAAGTCACACTAATTAGTGTCATTTATCTTTCCTGTGCAGATTTTATTTATTACCGTATAACAACTTTACGTATTACATTGCATGGCTTATTACATAAACCCAATATTGTTCAAAATGAAATATGTTTTGTAAAACTCGGCTCGTAGTACCAATGTTTTTTGTAATCCAGTTGATACGACCATGATTGTATTGTTTTGATGAGTACCGAATTGTACTTTGATATTGCTCGAAGGACCTTTGTTTTGTTGTGTGCGAAATAATAGACAGCGTTCGCTTTCGATGTTTAAATACAGGACGGTTACAGAAGTACTGTATTTACAATATCAGGTAAAGATACCCAAAAGGGTCAGTGGCCGCTTCCGTAAATGGAACAAAATACATATTCACATTATAAAAAAATACAAAGTTAATGAAATTCGCGATTAGTTAGTATAATTGCCTAGATAAATACACCCCTACGAAATATTTTAACAATAATAAATTTAGTACATATTTACCTGAATTTTCGCAAAAGCCGTTGTTAGGCATTCCCTGAAGTCATTGTAGTTATCAGTTACTAATGCCATCTTCTTTGGGTTTTCAGGTAAAAATGAAAAATAAGCCAATCGAAAATGTAAAGGAAAATTCTGAAAGTATTGTGGCATTAGAGGAACAAAATTTTGTATAAATGGACGGAACAGCATTACGAACCTATTATTTGTGATTTGTCAGTGTAAAGTTACATACTTTGTTAGACAAACATTGTAGTGATTAGTGTTTACTATTTAGTCACTGTAGTATTTAGGTTAATTTAATAATTTTTAGAATAGTAAATACGTAAGTGGTAGACAGATATATTCAGGGATATGGGGCATTCATTCCAAGAAAATTCTCAGCATTTTTGGTAACCGCAAAAGTAAAAAACGACTAATTACTTTGATCACCTTGATATTTTTCAAGAGTTAGAGTTTTCGCTGAAAATGTACTCTCGTTTTAGGCATTTTATTTTTTATTTAAAAAATTCATACGTTTTTTTTGAAAATGCAACATAGTGACTTAAACATTTTTATGTCACGAGCATGTATATGTATCGCACTGCTCCTAAAATTTTTTTCTGAAAAATTTCAGTTTCACAAATCCGGCCCTGTGCACTTTCACAATGGGTAATGATTAAGGGTGCTGTAAACTACCCACAAACTTAAACACGGAACCGGTTCATAAAATTCATATATTTTTAACACAACTTTATTAAAAAATCAGAACGTTTTGGTGGTGAACCAAAATTCAAAATATTAAAAAAAGGCAACAGAAGCCTGAGAAAATACCATACAGCGCCGATGTTTTTATAAATTAATAGTAAGCATACATAGACAACGCCGTCATGTATTTTATTTTAAATTTTAAATTAGAAATAGACGTTAATTTTGTCGAAGTCATTGTGTCAACAGAAAGATGTAAAAGTATTTCAAAAGAATATTGTTTATAAATAACATAGTATTATTAATAAGTGAGCTACCATTCTGCATTTAAGTTGACGCTTATGCAATTTTTTATGTGGCGAAATATGTATTATTGTACCTATACTTAAATTCTGAGTATTAAAAAATTCAGTTCTAAAATATATTAAGCTTTTTAAAAAAAACAGGAAAAGTTATTTAGTTCTACAGTATTTCAAATAATTAGAAAGTACTTGAAGCATTTTCAGTACTTCAAGTATTTGTAAGTACTTGAAGTATACCTCCAGTACTTCAAGTACTCGTAAGTACTTGAAGTAATATACTTGGCTTGTACTTCAAATACATCTGAAAACTACTTGATACTTGAAATACTCTTGCTGAAAGTAAGTACTTGGTACTTTACTTGAACACTATTTCAAGTAGTACTTTGTACTTGGTACTTCAAGTACTTTTTTTGAGTACTTTGAACAGCTCTGCATACACCAATGGCTTATATTGTATTTAATATTTTTAAAAATGATTTATATGTAAGTATTATAATATTTTAGTGATGAACACCTTAAATCATTATCTTAAAAATATATTAGAGAAATAGGTATATATTTTTGGTGAAGTTGTAATAATTCTGCAGAAAATAACACCAAAAAATGTAAAAAATTGAAAAAATACATATAATTCCTACGATTACAAGTTACAAATTTTGCAGTAATTTTCTGAAAATGATTCACGCAGATGTAGTGAATTCTGAGAACTAATGTTTGTACTATTTAGTAATAAGTATTAGAAAACACACTGTGTCTGAAACTACGCTGCTTGTTGCAAAAATGGTATATGAATTTGATGTAGACATAATTTCAACAAGAGCGAGCTCACCGCTGTACACAGATGACAGATGGCAGACAGACACACGAAAAACTAATGCTTTTTATCCTAGAGGTCATGAAATGTCGAGAAAACATGAAAGTCATTTATCGGATGGACCCTGTTACAATACTTCCTTAGGTTACGCTTGCAAAGTAAAAAGAGGCAAAAGCAAGTAGCAGAGATCGGGACCTTAACGAAGGAACTATGACTGGGAACTAAGGTAAATTTTTTCATTTTATTTATTTCCCTGGAAAAGACTATCAATGTAAGTTGCGATCACACCAGGTACAAACCGTTTGAAGGTGTGTCAAAACTAAGAAAAATCACATAATAATGCTCACTACACTAGTCGGACGGAGTTCGCATAAAGCAAAGCCTGGAGCGGGTTACCAGAAGTCTCGATTGCGGGGTCCAGAAAGACCTCGAGGCGGCGTTCGTGATTCAGAGGAACGTAACAAGGCGAGTACAGTGAATGTTGAGAGAATCCAGTCAAGTTGCGCCGGAATTATTCTGTACATAATGGCTGTGTGATTAGTCGTGTCAATTTGAGTTATTAAGAAATAAATTGTTAAGTTTTACCCACGCCGACTTTAATCACCGATCACCGTAACAATATTAATTTTAGCTCATAAAAGTCATTATAAAAAACTAAACAAATTCTCAAAGCAAAATTTTATCATTTTTCGAAGCTGTTCGACTGTACTTATACATAACATATAATATATACTGTAGAATAACGTTTGACCATTTTTTTTTAACTCTGTTTAGAGATATAGAGTTATTAGTAGTCATTCTAACGCTGGAGCGAAAATGTCATTCTGCACTATTCTTAGCCTGAAATTAAAACTAGAATTGAAACCTTGTGAAACGATCGTAGAAAAAAATTATTACAATTTACAACATGGTGTGTTCGAGCAGTAAAACATCTCATACAGCAGCTACATTAAAGGTTATTGATGGATATAACAAGAGTGAAATTCACCAAGAGCACTACCTTCAAGAGATGCAGGACCTAGTGTTTTGAATGTGGATGCAACCCTAAACTCATCATTTAATATGGTGATCCATATCACCTGTTGCACTATCAGATGATAAAAAAATCCAAAACGGAAAACTAAGAAAAAAAAAACAATAATAAAAGTGCTTTAGAAGTGAGATAACATCTCTAGAACAGTAATATTCAAAAAAACTAACTTAGAAAATGAAAACATCCCGTCTTAATTAAAGAAATGAAAAAGTTTGTTAACTGTGTCAAAGAAAACGGTTATAATCAATGACCATAAAAGAGTTAATAAGAAACCAAAACCAAGATTTTCTGATGAAAGCAGCGGGGGCCTACAGAAGACTGGATTAGATGAGAAATTAAGTTTGACGACAATGGGACCACGAAACAAACATGAGTACAGTAGCTTCTTATTTTATTTCAAAAAATTAACGCGTAATGATGGTACTTTTATAATTGTTATTCATCCATTGTGTGCATTCAGTACAACAGGCTCTCAGAATATTGTTAAAATGTTATAGTTGGTAATTAAGCAATGTTAGATTTTCACTGCATTAGTCGTTGAGAAGAGAGGTTAGACAATTTATAAAGGTCAAATACGTATTGTATAGACAACGGGATAAAAGAAGTTTTAGCAAAACATTGAAAACTTTGTATTGTGTAAAATGTTCGCATGATTGGATAAAAGGAGGAATGCAAGAGAGACAAATTGAAAACCCTTTTATGTGATTCTACTGGTATGGTTTTTTCTCTATACATGTCTGATGTTTATATAACTCTTTACGCTGTTGATACTATTATAAGCAGGACAGTCTTTACGTTGGAACAATTTGAAAGAGCAAGTTATATCTCGTTTAATAAAGCTCAATGCTAGTCTGAAGCGAGTAGATTTAATTTGAATAAAAACAAGACGAAAACTATGCTGTTTACTTTAAAAATATTTTAAATTGAGATCAGTACACCGCATGGATGCACATTTAAATTGGGTTGGGCACGGGGTATTTATTGCTAATAAAGTTTCTAAAAACTTTTTTTATTACGTATGATATCTAGCAATATTTGTATGTACTACTTAAGAATCTTTTTTTTGCTTTAATACATTCAGCTCTTTAGATTATGACATTATAATCTGGGGTCATTCTACATCGAGGCATAAATTAATCAAATGGCATAGGCGATTAATTAGAACTGTAGCAAATTTAAAAAATAGAAATGATTGCCAGGATTACCAGTCTGTTCATTTATTATAGAAGTTTAGATAGATAAGAATCCCTAATAAAATTAAACGCGGTTATGGTTATAACCTCGTAGTACAGATATGTGTTATGACATGTCAAAATTGTCAAAATTGTCCAAATTCACAGATGGCACAAACTATTATTTCAGTATTTTTGTTTTAGATATGAAATAAAAAAAAATGGAAGATGAAACTAATAAAACATGTAAATTAGCAACACTAATTGAATATTTTTTTCACTTACCGAAGAGAATTCCATAACTTTGAGCACCCACAGAGTCAGGGCCAAATTGACAATTACCATCACTAGAAGCACTAAGATGAGGACATAAAGACACCGTTTCCTCCATCCATAAATTCCAATCCTGAAGTTATATCTGCCTCGGAAGCCGTCGTTGGGGTCCGGACCGTGTCCCCCGGAGTCAGGCGGGTCGACCGCTTCACTTGTCTTCATTCTGAAACCAGTTAAAGTGTCAACGATGGAGGGTGCTCACATGAAAAAGTAAATTTATCGTTGCACCATGTGCATTATTAAGAAAACAATAAGATGCAGAATGAGCCGGTGAAAATATGACGCGGCCTTAAGGCTGGTAAGCTATCTGTCTTCGTCGGAGAGATGGGCGCATTAATCATGCTGTCTCTGTCGCGCTTCGGTTAGTCGATTCCACTGGGAAGTGGTAAATTTACCATCTCGCACCGGTGATATTTCAAAGTCCGAAACACTTTCCACTACGTCAACCAACTTACCTATTCATCTAGAGGTTAGTGTAATATCAACTTAAAATATTTATCTAAATGTAAAGGTGTTTGAGATGTGGAATTCTCATTAGATTCATGAGCAATTTAATTGCATGCTGTCTTGTAAACGATAAGTACATCTTTTGGTACAAAATATAGGTCAACCTGATGGTCAAAGTTATTAGGTTGTCGAGAAGATTTTTTTTCTTGTTTAAATTTGATCATTAAAATATAACTAAAATATTATAATTGTCACTGGTACAACTTCTTTTTACAAAATGCGAACTGGCTCGATGGTCTCATCTTGAAATTTTGAATTTCTATTTCGATTTTCTCTCAATATTCGTTAACAACATCTAAACTAAACTATTATTCTTTTTGCTTTCTACAGGAAAAGACTGTTATTAACTAACGTATAATTTTACTTTTTTAATGGCACCATTAAAAACTTTTGTATTTTAAATAATTATTATTAAAACAAAGCCTTAAAATAAGTGAGGTCCGGAGTATCGAGTGAGTGTTTAGGGCCATTAATGTATGTGATATATTCCTCCTGGGAGTTTTCAAGAAGCTGAGGGGGAATTTACTATTGTCCAAGAAAAACTAAGAAAACTTACAAGTTTTATAAAATTGGTGCCTCGGGAAACAAGTGCTGCTCATTGTTTCCTAGATAAATGCCAAATTTAAAACCTCCAGACAGTTTAAAGAGTAAATAGGACTATTCATTCTTTAAGCTGTCAATGTATTGGATAATACATTTATCTGTAGCAACGAGTAATATCAAAATATCCTAACTAAAAGCACTAGTGCAACCATTAATGGATTTAAAAGATTTAAAGGGTCTGGAATATTTGGGAGAGACGACACACTAAATTTTTTATCTCTGCGAGTATTCTGATAACTAGAATTTTTTTGGTCCTGCAAGAAGAGTTATGTAAAATGAAACGAACAGAAGATTCTCTTAATGACAGTGGCAACAGTTGTGAAAAATATTGAAAGTATCATTTTCACTAAACAAGAAATAGAAAAAGCAGACGCAGAAAGTACGTAAATTAGCTAGTAAATATACACATTCTTATAAAATATTTCATTCCTTAAGTTAGATTGTAGTGGGTCGTGAAACTCTCATACCTGATGCATTTTTAACGGTTTTGCTCTAACTTTGAACCGTTAGCCTTAAACTTAAATATTTAAAACGAGTAATACAGAATAATTGGTAAGATATAAAAGTGACAGAGGAAATTTAACAATAGTTGTGGATTCAGTGAAGTCGAAAAGGAATAAAATTTTATGAAAATATGTTCAGCTCCATCATGTTTATTACTTAAAATAAGATCCGTAATATCCGATTACAACTCCTGACACAAATACATTCAAACAATTTATTTGCGTATATTATAATTACATAAGATTTTTTTTAGATAAAAATTCACCACACGAGGGATATATTTATGGAATTTATCAATAATTAATTTCAATAAAATCCCAATTTACCCCACCAAGTTTTTGTCAGTTTACTCGTAAATAACTACGACATCATTTTCGTTTGATCATCATGATTTAATTAAGAAAAGTTAGTTACAATACCCATTATTAACTGCTAAAATTCTTAGTTTCATTTATACATATTTTTTCTGAACGCGATAATCTCTAAAATTATTGTACGGATTTTCATGAGGTTTTCACGAACAGATAAAGTGATTCACGAATCACGAGGTGTATAACTGATGTATAATTTATGAATGTTTTGTATAAATTGGCTGAACTATGACAATAATAATTGTCGCATAGGTAAGTCGAAAAAATCATGTCATCTACAAGCTTTACTGTTCTATACGCAGCGTTGTCTGTCGTGCATTATCATTAGATAGATCTCTTAAAAATGTGTTTTATAAATAGGTTTTATTAATTACGTACTTTTGTTTGAGTGAATTTTAGAAGTTTTGTGCGAATAAATGTGATCCCATCTCATCTCTTCTTATACTTTAATTTAGTCATTATGGTTTTTCTACTTAATCAATTTATTCGTGTCTTATTGATCTGATTGAACACAGTGCTACCTAGAGTTGTTTATTCTCTAAGTCTTACGTTGCATTGTCTAGTATTCCCCAAGGAACAGTGATGGGACCGCTGTTGTTGAATTTATAGATAAATGACATCGTGAATGAGCCTTCTGTTCCTTGTTTGTTATATGCAGACGACATGAAACTGTTACTGAAGGTGGATAGCACTGAGGATGCTCTCCATCTTTAAAATAATGTTTCTAAAGCGTTTTCTTGGTGCACTGAGAATGGATTACATCTGAACCTGGACCAATGTTATATATTTTGCTACAAGTTACATGTTAAGAAAAGCATGGAGTTGTATGACCCCCGAGGCGATGCACTCGCTGGATCGTCGTCCTGGAAGAAGCAACGCAGTAGTTCCTATTTTATATAAACCATGTTATACTTTATGACATCACTGTTCAAAGTGGAGAGCTTGAATAAATCGATATCCAGAAGAATCTACCTCTGGTGAATTCGATCGAGCGGCTCCAAAAAGAAGACTATCACACCAATTGTTGGCAAATTCAAGAGGATCCATGAAATTCGGGATATCACATCGAAAATCTTCTTATCTGTCGAAGTATTTCACATAAACACAATTTTAAGGGAAATTGATATTTTTTATACTGATACTAATTTAAATAACCTAAAAACTTAAAAATTCCACAATATAATGGCAATCCAAGCGGACTTAGCGACTTCATCAGTAAGTAGTGCCGAGAGTATCGTATATGCATTTCCGAAAGCCGATCAAAGGTTTAAAATTTGATGATTCGGGATCTTGTTCTACTAAAACAAAGGAGCGAATCTCGGTTCTAGTTTTACGATAAAGTGATTGGTATATTAAATTTATTATCTTCATATGTTCAAGCAAATGAACAGACAGATACTGGGAAAATATTAAAAAAGAGCTCTTTAATAAATTAGGGCTTAAAACAATATCAGTAGGCCTTAAACAGCCTACAAGGAGTTCAATTTGTGCCACGAGACCTCCAGATTTGCACATTGCACTCACATTTCTTAACCAAGAAAATAACGTTAGATATTATCAAAAACGTTTTTAATTTACCAGCAGATGAGTAAGTCGAGTTTTCAATCTAATAAACCGATAAACATTCAAACGAAGCCATATTTAAGCCCAATCGTTATTTCAAACCTACAACAGCAAAACCAAAGCTCTTCAGAAACAAAAACTTTTTGTTTAAATTAGCAACTACAATTTCGATACAGAGTTAATTCAATTTATGAAAGAATACCAGGAGTTATCTATCCTGTCCATTTTGATCCACTAGAAGCCTATTACCCACTTTGCGTGGTAGTAAGGAAAACGTTTAAATGGCCTAATTATAAATTTATTTGTACACCTAAAAAATTAATAGATGTATCCGAAAACGAAATTCTCGAAGTCATTCAAAAGTATCATGAAATCAAAACAAACCATCGTGGAATTAATGAAACTGAAACTCGTAAAATCTATTTATTAACTGGCCGAATATGAGAAACTCCATTCAAACTTATATCAATATTTGCGTCAACGCACTAAATATGAGCGAAATCCCTTGAAAATAGGAATTAGGATCACGCCAACGCCTATTAAACCTTTTGAAATTATACGTGTAGGCACAATTAAAATTAAAAAATCACTATTTATTACTACTATTGACGCCTGCCCGAAATATTGTATAATGTATAATCTGTCCACTCTAAATTCTAAAAATTTCGTCCAAAATCTTATTAGATTCTTTTCGTACCTTGGAATTCCGAAACAAATTATTATTTGTGATAATAGTAATGAATTTAAAAATACGAACGTTCGAGAATTATTAGAGTTGCATAAAGTGGATATCGTTTTATCACTTCTGAGAATCCTCAATCTAACGGTGCTGTTGAACGAATTTAACAAAGATTTTGAAACAAAGCTTCTTTAAGGATAATTTACAGGTAAAACCAAACGAATCGGTGCATCCCAAAGAAGTTCGACGGGATAACAAAAATACAAAATAGATTTAATCCCAAAATATCCCTCCAACAGTAGATACTTCTAAACAGGTAATCGAAACTACACAATTTGCAGGTGGAAGTCAAAAACTTCCAAAATAATCCTGGCCTGTGGCCTATTTAACTTTTGTCCTACCAAAATTTTAGATTATGAACATAAAATTATCAATTACCTACTATAATATCCTCACCGCAATTCGTGGTTTAGAGAAAGTGAACTAAAGGTTTGAACATTTTACTTCTGATTTTAGTAAAAATGCAAGTGATTTAAAGAAAGTAATAACAGCCCTTGCATTTTTCAAATTAAAAATTCTGCATCCTGGAATTATCCAGGGTAAGGAATTAACGACTTGCCACAAAAACTTAAAATTAGCAACCAAAGGGGTACAACTGCCGTTGAACCTAAATCATGAAAATTTCATCCATTTTGTTAAGCCAATTAAAGTAGAATCGTATGTTTACAATGTTTACTATGTTCCCATCTATCATCTGGAATCGTTTCATTTATGTAAATTGTATCTTTCACCCGTTTGGATAGATTTAAAATCCTTTCGCGTTATTATTCCCAATACCGGATGTTTATTACTGTCCGAGAAAGATGTAGCCTATGAAACCGAAGTTGGAAAATCATACTTCTGCAAGTCCGCCGTCATAGTGTCAAAGAAGAAACA